AACTACAGCAAGCTATGAACTCTATCCAAGTGAAGAAAAAATACAAATTAATTGTATTTGAAAGAAGAACCTCAGAGAGATATTCCTTTTCATGTATACTTTAATAAGTCAACAAATTAGGTTTGAAATTGATTGCACTATTAAGATTCAGGCTGAAGTCTGTGTGAGACCAAAAAATGACATAATAGAAAATCCACTGCATGTTCTGGGGTGCAGCACAAATGAAAAATGTTATTCATCTGTGGCATTTTAAAGTTTGGTTGAAAAACTGAACAAAAATAGCAAAGAATAGAAGTCTGTCTATAAAGTGTAAGTAAAGAAATCTCAATTAAATCAATTCAGCTGCATAATAAAACAGCAGTACTTTGATTTACAGATGTATTTTTTGTTTTAACAGTCTTTGTTAAATAAAGACACATCATAGTAATGTTATTTAGTTTATGTAGAGTTTATAAATTGTGAAGGATGGATCAAAGAATTTCCTCTTAGATCACATTGAAGGCTAAGACTAACTGTGAGAGATTCCACTGGTTCTTAGGCCACACGGTGAATAAAGGCTGATCTCCACATAGCCAAAGGCTAGACACCACTAGACTGGTCAGGCTGTCTCCATATTGTGTTGAACTTTGCCAAGGTCTTTTCCAAACTCCTTGTAGTGTCCCTCTGAGCTTAAAACTTACTTTTTACTGTACATATGTTTCCAGTAATGCCATGAACAACTAATAGAGAGTTATAATTTCAGGGAATAGGGGATACAACTATTTTACAATAAGTGCAAGACCTCTATGGATGACCATGAAGAACTGTGGAGAGTTAAAGGAACCAGACATTTGTGATTAATCCATAGAGCCTATTAAGAAGGATCCCCAGAGGGAACTTCCATCTAAACAAAAATTTGTCTAAATGGGAGCTAGTTGATTTGCTCTGACAGGAAGCTTGGAACTATTGTGTAAATTAGGAGCAGAGAAGTGGTTGGATAGAGTCTGATGGCTGAATTACTTGATGACGAAGAAGTAGCAAGAATCTCCCACTCATCTGAGAAGTAGAGCACTATTACGTGATGGGAAGGGAATTATCTTGACATGCAACTGTATGTGCACTTACACTGGTGACTTCATGCTTTGGAATGGCTCTTTTTAGCGGTAGATTCAGTTTATATCTGTATTTAATTAACTGTTTGCTGAGCACTGTAGAACACTGCAATTGTCTTGGTAAGGTTTTCCTCATGGCTAAGCCAAGACTTATTGTGCCTTGCTGTACCATCCAGAAGCCATCACTTGCAATATAGAAAAATGACCTTCTGGCACTTTGCTCTCTATGTGTGTTCAGGATTTTAGCAATGGCAGCAAAACAACCTGGGGTATATTTACAGAAATCTACTTACCATTGCCTATTAGGTGTATCTGCAAAGTATGGCCCTATAACCACAAAGAAAAGTCAAATCTTCCTACCTTCTTCCTTGTATAGCAAGAGTCAGTAATGTAGGTGCACCCTATGTGGGTACATTGGAAGTTTTATCTGTTTTTTGAAGGACATTGTGGCTTTTAGTATATAGTGAGGTACAATACAGACATTTTGCTTTCACCTCTAGATCTACTCAGGACTATAGGACCGAACCTTTATTAAACATATAAAATACCTGTATAAAAAAATTGAACCGCACATGATATCATTTGACATTTCTCCATATGTAAGGAAATTTTAAACAAAATTTATTTATTTTTGTGTAATTATTAGTATCAAAAGTTAAAGACACTCTTCACTCATTCATAAATATTTAATAAAACTCACTTTTTCACTATTTGGCAGATAATTGGTTGATGCACTAGTTTTCTCATGCCCTGAATCTGAGGCAGTACTGGGAAGCCTAATTCTATCAAGGATTTGGCAAATTTAGTAATCTGGCTTTACAGCCTCCTACTGCTGGACAGCCTCCTCCTAGGGCTGTCAGGGCTTCAAGCCATATTGCCATACTCTTGTCTAACGAGTAATCTTATCCTTTTCTCTCTTTTTCTTTCTTTAGTAAACAGATGGTGTTGGTGCCTGACTGTGTCCTAAAATAGTTTCTAACTTTGCAACCAATTCTACAATTTCTTCACACTCAAATACATTTCATCTTAGCCCTTTGCTTTCTATCTCAGCACATATTCAATGTACATCTAATGGAAGCTTACATCTCATTCCTTTTGGCATTTCTATTCACTTTGTTTTCATTGGGTATATATAGTCTGAAAACTCCTAAATGAATATGGCCCTACAAACTGAGTGAAGAAAAAGATTTCAGCTAGAGATTATGTTTCTGTATGGAACAAAAAAGAAAACCTATAATAAACTTGCTATAGCAGCAGAGAGTCTGATGTTCAGTCATGAGTCCCTGAACTATATTACCCCGTATAAAAACATGAGATCGCAACAAAAGAAAAGCACTTTAGCCATCTTGATAGTCAATGAATGTGCTAACTGCTTTTGTGGAATTACAGTGTTCTTCAATGTGTTACCTTTATCAGACTGAGACCTGCATAAAAATGAAATGTCAAACTCCAATACAATTCTAGTCAGTCATACAGTTTATCTTCTTGTCCCCTGATAGAGTTCACAAATTTAATAACTGTCCTTTATCCTTGTCTCAATCCTCTTTCAGCTTTCTATTTAACTTTCTTCGTTCTGACTTGAGGGAAATGCTTCATCTTCATATAGCAATCGCAGTAGAAAGAACAGAAAGACCCAATGTCAAATGTCATTTTGAAGTGTATTGGTGTGATCAAACCATTCTGATGGTCAGAGAAAAAATGTTCATTGCTATTCTGTTACATACAGTTTAACCTATTTAGACACTAGCTGCCTAAATTAGCTGGATAGTTTGAACTGAAAACTTTATTAAGATTCTTATTAGCTGTGTTTCAAATTTTGTGTGGAAAAAATATATAATCTATCTTTAATTGAAAATATGGGATTACTTGCAAGAAGCTCGTGATAACACAATCAAAATTATTTTTCATCTGATAAGAAAGTATAATGATGAATTATTCCCATTTTTTTTGGTTTCGGTGACTATAATTAAGAATGACCCTTCAGGTCTCAACACAGTCTCTAAATGACAACTATAGTACCATTAATATCAGTTTCTACTTCTTACAGAACATTCAAAAATGAGAATAAACTGAACTTACATTTTCTCTGAATTGAAAGTACTAAAAGAAAATTTGCTAAATGAGCCTGCTACAATGTCATATGTGACACTGTGGAGATACATGCAGCCATTAAAGCCTTGGCCCTTTGAAATGCTGAGCGAGGTTCGCATGTGAAACAGTAGCTAGCTCCTTTACAGCTGTGAACTCTCAGCTCAATTTTCTTCCTAGTAGCTGGTACAGTGCTGTGTTTTGGAATCAGTATGAGATAATATTGATAACACACTGATATTTCAGTTGTTTCCAAGTAGTGTTTACCCTGCTTAAGTCAAGAACTTTTCAGTCTCCCCTGCTCTGTCAGTGAGGAGGTGCAAAAGTAGCTGGAACAGAGCATGGCCAGGACCCAAACTGGTCAAAGGGATATTCTGTACCATAGAGCATCATACTCAGTATATATAAACTGGGGAGTTGGCCAGAAGTCACCATCACTGCTTGGGAACAGGCATCAGTCAATGGGTAGTGAGAAATTGTTTTGCATATCACTGCTTTTTTACACTTAAATTTTATTCCTCTCCCTCTTTTTGTTATCTTCTTTTTCACTACTATCATCATTATTAATTGCTACAATATTATTTTACTTTATTTCAATTATTAAGCTGTTCTTATCTCCATCCAGGTGTTTTTCAGTCCTCCTCTCCATTCCACCTGGGGGGAGTGGGGAATGAGCAAGCATCTGCACAGGGTTAAATCACCACATTGCTAATGTTTTCACAGGTCTTGAGAATAGAGAAATCTTGTATCTCTACATATTTAGGAAGAAGGGCATTTGATGAAAGAACATAAGAGATGCTGAAGTATTATTTGGATAAATAAAAAACAGATACAGTAAAGTAAAAGAGAAAAAGTAGATGTGGGCTGATGACATGAGTGGAAAGGAATATGGGAATGAACCAAGGGACACAGTACTCCCTTAAGGAAAACTGTTGATGAAAACTGAGCTACCAGCTAGAGTGAGGTAAGCAAAGTTGAGTCTGTTGAAAAGGTTACCATCTTTTTGTAGTTGAACTAGAAAATAAAATGAAAATTTAATCAAAACCAGAGCTGATCTTATAGTATGGAAGATAAACCAGACGATATATACAATCTGAGAGAGAAGAAATGTGCAGTACAGGGAATACCTTTATTTCAGGCTTGAGTAGAATATTGAGTTTGTCAGTGGTCACTGATCACTACAGAAAGAAAAAGTGGGATCTGAAAATTTTAAATGTCTGATCATCCAAACAGTAGCTCCCTTTTCTGTCAGCTAAGGCATTGGTTTAAATTTTTGGTCCAGAAAAGGTTACTGTAGAGATTTGTCAACACTTGCTAAGTTTTGAAATTCCAGGACTAAATTTTCTTGACAGACACTTTTTATTTCTTTTCAAGTTGTAATAACTTGGATTCCTGTAACAATATAATAAAATCAATCTTTGAGAAAATTATTTGTATTGGGGAGTAGTCTACACAATGTAGAATATTCTGTATACAAAAATTGACAAGAACTTTATATGATTTTTTTTCCAAAATCCCAAAATTACTTTTTATTATTCTTGAAATTATTTTCCATCTATGTAAACATCAATTAATTAGACAATGACTGTCACTAGAAATACTTTTGTATCATTTCCTGTTCCTAGTATGTGTTCACAGAAAGCAGGTTCATGCTGTTATTCTAGGTAGCCATTCAAATGCAAAGACTGGATACACTTGGTGTAACATCACTGCTAAACAGCTTGGATTTTAGGTTCATTTCTTCTCTCCTTAGAGAGCTAACATAAAAAGAGAGGCATTGCATTATTCAAATTATTCCTAATTACACCTTTTTCTTTACAGATACCACGAATAATATAGAACAACTATTTTGAGGAAAGGAAAAGTAGCCTGAGGAAAAGAAAGAAAGAAATCTGAAACAGCCTGCTACAGGAGAAAGGTAGATTTCTAGTTAAGGTGTTCCATGTAGCTTTCAGAAGACTTCTCTTTAATTCATATCTCTCTAAGAAGTTTGTGACCTTAGGCAAATTGCTTCATTTCTCCGTGTTTCTTTTCTCTTCACGTAAAATGTTTTCTTTCTCACAGCATCCTTTTTCATCACCATGGAACTGATGGAATTCATCTTAACTGTGCAAATTCCCAACAATGTGCCAACATGTCTTGCTAAAATAATAACATATAACTAATGGAGAAAATAAACTAGAAGGGATACTACTTCTGGCAATTCCTCTGCTAGCAAGTATGCTATCACTTTCCCTCATAATTACTTCAAGTTGCACATTGTTGACATTTATGACAAGAAACAAAACAGCAATAAAAAGCAAATATCATGAAAGGTAGATATCTAAAATAATAGGATACTTTGGACCACAATACTTTACTGAAATATTGATCCATTTCTTGAAATTTTGTTTATGTAAAAGATACATATAGTTATTAAATTAGGATAGCAATCTGGTTTTCTTATTAATAAAAGAAAAATTATGAAAATTACTAAATCAATTTATTTTCTTCTAGTTTATAATTTGTTGTAAAATCTATGAGACATCAGTTGAAATGCTTCACTAGATCCTAATGACATCTCAATTGTTGGAACAATACTGAAAAGAGAAATGTCCCTAAAATGTACATAGACAAGATAGCTGTAGTCAATTTCATAAATATACTTTCTTACATGAGTAGAAGTTTGTTGAGTTAGAAAATATTTACCTCATAAAGCTTTGTACTCAGGTTTGTACATACATTTTGGTTTTTGTATACGTTACATCTTCTTCTGCCACTGCCACTGCCACTGCCGCTGAGAAACAGCAAGCCCCCTGTTACATTCTCAGGAGGAAGCTTTCTTGATTGTGGTTTGTGTGCCCATAACCTCAGTGAACCCTGGAATCCACAAAGAGTCTCCTTGTGCTGCCACATGCTCAATGCAGATGGCATCTTCAGAGAATACGCTGGCAGACACACACAATTTAGCATGTGCAAACAACATTTTTTCATGAGTTTGTAAAACAGCCAAAGGCAGGTGTCTTTCACACAGATAACAAAACAGCTCTCTGACCTCATGTTGATACTCTCTATTTCTCCAGCTCCCCAGTTCCAAAATTTTGCTCAAAGTATGAAAACACTAGGTTTCTTCATCCAAATGAAGAAACGTAGTTTCATTTTTTTTTCATAATGATGAACTTTTTTTTCTATTTCCAAAGAATAGCTGATCTGTTTTATCTGAAATTTATGTTCAACGTTCAGCCAAAAACATCACTTTCAATTCAACCAACAGCATGGGGAAGATAACCAAACAGCACATTTCAGTAAATTTAACTTGAAAATGTAAATTCAGATGTAAATATTTAAGAACCTGCAAACAGTTTCAGTAGTGTTTGTCCCTAATACATTCTAGTTCTTTTGCAGTACTTTTCCAAAAGCTTCAAAAGTCAAATGAATGTTGTCCCCAGTTTATACATATTGCAGATCTGTCTAAATGCACTTTAAAGTGATGCAAGATAAAATTTCAAAGCAATATGTAAAGTATCAATAAAATGAATGCCTGGAGTAACCTATTGATCCTACTTTGTCTTATAATCCTTCTTTTCGAAACCAGCTTTCATATCTGTATGTGGTTTATAAAGTATATACAACATATATTTTATTCAAACAAACATTTTACAGGAAAATTAAAAAAACTTACACTCCTATATACTCAGTTATACCTATGCCAGTAACTGTTTCAAACAAGCATCTTCATGAAGGTTTCTTATTTAGATCAGTCACCAGTGAAGACTAAACAAATATCCTAACACTAAACAGCACTGTAATTCCAGACTGATTTTTCTGTTACTCAGATGTTGCATCCATGGATTTTGATTAACTCAGTTTAGAAAGCTTTAACCTATAGTGAATATTTTTTCTTCTGAGGAAAAAAAAAATAAAAAAAGCCAGTATCTCCTTGAGTCCTTACAAAAATTGTGAAAGCATTGGCAGAGCTGAGGAATAAAGAGACTAAGGGTCAGGACTCAAATGAAAAATTGTGATTAAATGCATTTTTTTCCTTTCTCTCAGCTTCTTAAAATGTGTAATATATGTTTGGCAAGAAGTATCTTTTTATTATATTGATCTACATTCCGAAAATTTGAGAATATAACATAGTTGCTTAAATGCATGAATTTGTACCTCACTTTGTGCATATTCTGTATTTACCATTCACATCTTGCAGTAGTAGCTTCACATAACTTATTTGCCAAACACACATGAATATTATTTTTATGTGTGAAAGTACAAAGCTAAAAGATGCATATATGTAATCAGATAATGTTAATCATATTTATATACATATTGGGTTGAAAACATGGACCCAACACTATCAAACTGTAAAATTTTACCAACATGATCAGTAATTTCAACTTTTAACACAACAGTTACTAGATAAAAAAATCAGTTTGAAGAAAGAATGAAAGAATATGTTACCTTGCATCTACAGATGCAAGTACAGATAAAGAATCTAATTTAAAATATTTTCATTGATTTTCTATGTGAGCTTGGACAAGATAGCTAACAGCATATTTCTTTCAGAAATAGCAAAATGGCAAGTTGAAATGGAAAACAAAATGTCTTCTCTGGAAATAAAATGAAAATAATCCTTATTTGGTAAACAGTTAAGTTTGATTAAATAACATTTATCAGTGGAATGATATTCAATCAAAATATCCCCCAAAACGTAGTACAATTTCTCTAATGTTTTGAATATATATACTTAAAGGTATGTATCCATGTCATTATATTTACCTTACTGCTCTCAAGATGTGTGTATGTGGTAGACTGTAGAAATATGTAGAGACTCCTGACCAAGCTTCCTAAAAGCAGTGAGAGAATGAGCATTAGTATGGTTGTCCCACCACATGAACCATGTCCCATAATGTAGTGTTGCAGCCTGTTCTGCTGGGCAGCTGAACCACCAGTGGCAAGCAGACCCAAGGCAGCCCCCAACAATCCAGGACCCCTTCTTGGATTCCCTGTTTTGTCTTAAGACCCAAGATATGTCCTGGGTCCCAAATCTAATAGCTAGTTCTCTAGTTTCTCTGCCATCACTTCCTGGATGGGTACAACACTCAAATAACTTATTTTTCATCTAAACTGAAATACATTTCTAAATATTTTAATTTTTTTTCAGAGCTGAGAAAATTGCAAACGACAGCTGAAATAGTCATTACTGTATCTCAGAATGGTCACAGTAGCTAAAGATGGAAAATATCACATCAGCTGTTTCACTTTCCTGCATTATAGCAACCTCTTAGAGAAAATACACCAGTCCCTACTCAAAAGCAGATACTTTCCATCTCCTAGGTGTTGTTCAAAGACTAAAAGAAATAAAGAGAAAAAAGCTGAAAGGGAAGCTCTTTACTTGATGGTTTCGACATAAATTAATGTCAGGTGGGCAGTCTTGCTACAGGTTAGAACTTGCAAAGATTTCTCCTAGTTGAAAGGCAAGAGCACACTCTTTCAGTGTAGTCAGCCTAACTGTAACACTTCCCATAATCACATAATAAATTTCTCTCAGCCTTGTAAGTCTTTTAGAAAAGTGAATGATGGTATCTAGTCACAAATTACTGGATAGTCTCTTTTAAATAATTACATTCCTGCAGGATAAAAGAAGCTCCACAATACAGATCAAGATAGAAGATATCAAGTTCTTTTACACATGCTATTGAAGAAGAGTATAGCCAGACTGTAATAGAATAACATGGAGAGAGCAGAAATAAAATATAAGTCCATTTCATATACATTACATACAAATGTACCAGATTGCATGGAGGAAGCTGCAGAGATATGCTGATGCATCCCATTATATTATTAATGTAAAACAACTGGCTACTACTATAAAACGGTTTCATTTAAAATGCTCTGAGAGAACTATTTCAGTGCGGTAGTTTAGATGCAGACAGTCATGGTGGCACACATACAGAAATACAGAGCAGATTTTTTTTGACATGAGCAAAGCCCAAGAGCTTGGTTTTGTGTGGTAGCAACTGTATACACACCTGGTAGGATAAAACTAATCAATTTTCTTCAAATATATTGATGCCAGATAATTAACTAGATCCCATTATTTACTGACAGAGGCAGATATTGATGATTATACATTGATGTCCAGTTTTACACTGCTATGCTATAGGTATAGGACAGAGAAATTATGGTGAGCATTTGGGTTAAAATGGCCATATTCTTTTCAAATAAGAAAAGCATCACGAGATGTGAATATAGTTGCCATGTGTTATATGGCAAAAAGAGTAACTGTAGTAGCTCTTTAATTAACTCTGTACAGTAGAGGATGTCAATGACAGAATTCTTTAATGGAGGTTTAAGTTTTGTTCTTAAAAGCTATCAACTTAGAAAGTAAGACAGACAAAGCTCACACAAAACAAGAATTAAATAATAACTGTTGTGGGTTTATTTCCTGCAACATTTCATTTGTTTTGTTTCTACAACAGCTTTAAAGCTCTGCAGATCTCTCTAATTGGAGGATAAGGGAAAAAAATAACAACAGTAAATAAATAGGCTGAAATTATGTGTTCATAGTGTTACGAATGCTTGCACAAAGGTTACCCTGTAACCCATTGACAGATTGCTGGCTGTCTTGTAAGTTACCTCGCAGTAAGTCATTTCAGAGCTTTATGTGCTGGGCCAAAGAATATTCACTGATTCTTCAAATGTCTGGCATTTCCAGGCAAGAAAACTATACCATTGACATTCTCAGTATATATTATATGTCCTTAATTTCTTCTTTAGATAAACAAGTTTTTCTTATCAGCAAAATCCCCAAACATACAGCTTTAAAGTAGCTCATCAGAGAATGCTTTTCTTCAACTTAGGGGAGACATCTACAACTCAAACTTTTTCTTATAGATAGCATATTCACTTGAAAGCTGTCTGACAGTCCTCACTGAGAAATGAATAGGAGATGAAATTTACAGGATGGTTGAAATAGACTGCACAGTAATGTTTAGATCAATTATACCATGCATTCCAAAGTAGCTTTAGCTACTCAGTTTAATGGACTTTAAAGATAAAAAACACCATTAAATCTGTATCACTACATTACATTTTATCCAATTATGTCTGCTTTGAACTCAGTGTCAAAAGTTTGACTAAATCATCATCACTTTGTGAATAAATTGTACCTTCTAGGAAGGCAACCATGTTTAATCAGGACTTTACCAAGGGAAGAACAAGCTAACATCTCCCTTGGTA